GCTATTTAATCTATGACATATTTCATTGCGTAATGCGATTGAACGTGCATTTGGAGTTCTAAAGAAATGTTTTCCAATTATCCAAATCTCAACTGAACCTCATTATTGGATTAAGACTGTTAATACCATTATATTTACTTGTTGCATTTTGCGTAATTATTTACGGGGAGAGGATCAAACTGATAAAATTCTTCAAGAGGTTGATGAAGGACTCCGAAATATTTATCTAGACGAAAGAAGTATCTACAGTACTGAAGAAATTAGAAAAGGCGAAACAATTAGGGATGCAATAGCAACTGATATGTGGGCTGATTATATTTTGTGTAATTTATGATATTTGTATTGTTTACGATGTTTATATGGTGTATGACATTTGTATGACTTATGATGTCTGTATAACTTAAATATTTTAATTGAATACTACAATTTGAAAATTATTATATTATAATCATATTATATTTTTTTTGTATATGATTATATTTGATGTTTTTATATGTGTTTTAGATAATGGCTAAGGCGAACAGGAATGCAGACATAGGAAGTAAAATGATCCACTAGTCAGATCATATGGATGACGTCCTAGTAAACTCATTTTACAATCAACATTTGTGTGGTCGTAGATCGGGTGAGACATTCACATCACACGCTATTGATTGTATACGTGAAAAAGTGAGGAATGCATTTCAGATCTGGACATTGATAAAGAGCGTATACATAATCGCATAAAAAATTTAAAAATGCAATTCTCAAAATATTATGATGTTTTCAAACATGGAATGAGTGGTTTTGCCTAGAATCCAACAACTGAACAATTCGAAGTAGAAGAGGAAGTTTATGAGTAACTAATAAAGATAAATCTCTTACTTTATCATATCTTGTTTGCCATTTTTTATATTGTTTAAATATTAATATAGTTATTTATGTTAGGCTCAACTTGAAACAGCAGAATTGAAAAATAAACACGTGCGAAATTACGAGAAAATGTTAGAAATGTATGGAAAGGATCTAGCTAATGGGTCTACAAGTGAAACATCCATAAACCCTCGAACACAAAGGAAGAGGAGTGGTGATGAACATGGTCTAGATGCTACAAGTGAGACACTAATTACCCAAGATTTAAGTGGTAATTTTAATTTTCATGGTTTGAATAGTTCATATGAGATTCCAACACCCGAAACTCCTATTTCAGAGTCCGAACATGAGGTGCAAGAGTCTTTAATCCGAAAGAAAGCAAGAAATTTGACAACGATCTATGAAGAGGAATATATGGTTGAAGTTCGAATTATTTTAAATTCAATGAAGGAAATATTAATAATTGCAAAAGCGCATGTTTCAGCATAAGAGTTATATTAAGATATTTCTCGTATGTGATTAGATCCCCTTCTAGAAATAAAAATTTTTATGTTGCTTATGGATAAACCAAACATGACTAAAGCTTTAATGACTTGTCCTCCTTATCGACGTAGTTTTTTCATGACCAATTTGCTTAATTTATCAGGTAATGACTAATATCACATCTCAAGTTCAAATATTTTTTATTTGTTATTTTGTTGATTTTGATTTTTTTCGAATTTTCAGATAATTGAAAATGGGAGGTTGTTGTCGCTGAAATGCAGACTATATTATGGTTTTAGGACCCTTTATCAAATTGATGTTGGATGTTTAATGGATGAATCTTATTATTTTGATGGACTATTTATGTTTTGGATGATTAATTTATGTTATATGGACTA